CTGCGGCTGGCTGTACGGCGACCCTGGTGCTTCCGCCCGTCTGTCCCGCCGCCCGCCCGCCCAGCCATGGCCGCGCTGGCGTTCATCCTAGCTATCCTGCTGCTGCTGCTGCTGCTGCTGCTGCTGCTGCTGCTGCTGCTGCTGCTATATCAGCATGAGCCCAGTGCTGCCAAGTCCTCTGCTCCTGCCACTTCTTCTGAATCCCCAGCCAATACATAAGCAACCTGACCCAACAACTTCCCTATACATGCCCCTACCCCATCCCAACAAAAGGGCACCTGCTTTCCATTCAGTATAGAGGGGCCTTTGGAATCTACTCTCTCAACTGCATCTTTTAGCCTCAGTTCCCTCTAGGCCGGGGCAGCAGTGTCGAAAGGGTTAATAACATCCTGGCCAGCATCCTCCATGGCCATTGTTAAATAGGACCCAGTAGTGGGAGCTGCTGATGAAAACAATGGTCTTTTCCAAGCTCTCCAAGCAACTGGAGGCCCACCCTCTCTCCCTAGCTCCCAAAGGATAGCCCAGAGCCCTGGCTTCTGTGTGTGTGGTGGGGGAGTGATTACTACAGTACTGTCAGTCCTCTCCCCAGGCATGGGCACCATGTGGAATCCTGAGTACAGAAAGCAAAATCAACCTTCTGACCTGCAGCCTCCCCAGGCTCTGACTCCCTAACTTGGCACCAGACAAGAGGATGGAGTGGGAGTAGAGGGAGGTCTTCTCTGACTCTTCCTCCAAAAGTCATTAGAGCTAGTGGCCAGAAAGGAGTGGAATCTCTCTAACCTGACTGCATTGCAAATGCTGAGGGTCTGAGCTTTGGGCCTTGGACTCCGTGGGGGGAACTAAAGGGATGGGGAAAGGGACATGGGGACAGGAGATTTGGGCTCTGCTCTCTTGCTCGCTGACCTTAAATCCTGAGCCTTACTTCATGGTCCCCAGAACTACCCTCCTCCCTGCTCCAGCACCATAGGATGCCCCACTGAGGTCCAGGCAATGCAAAGGTGCCTAGAATCCTGGGGGATGCAGGTGAGGGAAGACTCTTGGGGGCTGCCACCTGGGAGTTGGGAGTGAGTTGTGTGCCGGGGGCCAGAAGCCAGGCTAGGGGCCTAGTGTGGCTAGGGGAAGGATGGGGTGAAGCCTAGAGACTTCTTGCAGAGGAAGGCATGTGGTACCCCAATCTTAGCCTCCCTCTGGGAAGAGGGTCCAGCTGGAAGCTGGAGAAAGGTGTGTGAGACTGCATGGCTCCTGTGGCTTTTCTTGGTCACAGGGCTATCCCAAAGTATTATGTGGGGCTGCCCAGCAGCCACCAGCCCCTCTGTGGCAGCAAGCTCGCCTGTTTAGCTATGACAGTGTTTGAAAGAATCTGTAGCAGCAGATTCACTGGCTGACTGCACAGTGCTTCAGACTCTGGCCTTGCAGAGAGGTGAATGTTCAGTCCTTTCAGCACAGTGCTTCAGACTCTGGCCTTGCAGAGAGGTGAATGTTCAGTCCTTTCAGTCCTTTCTTAAGTGCCCTTAAGAACTGAGCTTTTATCTTAATACTTTTACACACAATGCCCTTGGGCCAGGACAAGGAAAGGGCCACTGATGGAGCCCCCCAGGAATTGGCTGGAGGCCCCACTGTACTCTTTTGTGTAGAGGGAAGGATGGTAGACCCAGCCCAGGGAGGCCTGCCCCTAGATTCAAGACAGGTTCTTGCAAAAGAGTTTCTGTGGAGCCGACAGCTCCAGGATTCAACTTGTTCTCAGAAAAGGCTGTCACTGGGGGAAAGGAGACATGGAAAGAGGGTGTGTTTGTAAGGAAATGGCTAATGCCTTTGCTCTTCTACCCCTCCAGCTGCCACTGAGCTATGAGGAGGCCCTAAGGTCACTGCCTGAACCACCACCTAGCCGTAGCTCTGTTCACCCAGCCTAGGAAGCAGCACCTTCCCTGCTCAGGGAAATACCCCTGTGTAGGAGGGAGCAACTTCCTCTATTCTGCCCCTTCCAGCTTCTCCAGAAGACTGGCAGGGATACCACTGAGCCTGTGGTGATGCCCCCACCGACCCTCCCCAGCTAGTCCTTGATATGTGAGACTTTATGAGAAGGAAGCCAAAGTGAACCTCAACAAACCATAGTCACCTTTGCCAAGGATCTGCTGGAGGTGAGGAATCTAAGGTCATCCCCTGAGAGAACAAGGTGACTAGTTCAAGGCAGAGGAAAGTCCTTATAAAGAAGCCACTGGACTCTACAGGTCCCTCTGGGGCTGCAGCCAACACAACCTACCTCCAACGGCCAGGACAACCATCGGCACCAATTGAGACTTCCTTCCTGGCCCTTCCACTTGAAGCCAAACCTCTAAAGGTCTTAGGTGAGGTTGACAATGAAGGCCTGCCCCAGCCCACTCTAGGTCCAGACTGAGATTCCTAAAGCCAGATTTTTTTGCTGCTGCTTATGGTTTGAGATAAACCAAGAACCAGAAAGGAATGTGAGCTTGGTGTACCTCACATTTCTGGTATCACCCACTCCTGTTACTTGGTGTCTTTCCAGGTTAGCAGGAAGAAGCCCATTTGTCACCCACTCTGCCTCATCACTGGAAAGACCTCAGTATTCCAGGGCAGATGGGGCCTCTCTGCCAGGACCCGCAGAGGCAGGAAGAGTTGTGCCATGCAGCCATTTCTGGGGCCGCTGCCCCAGCTTCCTCTGAAGAGGAACATTATCTTTTGCTTCCTCCTTTGGCCCGTACCACCTACTCCACAGAGGGCCCAGCCCAACTTCTGTGGGATCCTAGAAGGGAAATAGCAGAAGCACCCATAAGCATAAGCTCTCCCCCTTCCTTCCCCTCTGGGGGATGGTGCTAAAGCAATCTTCTCCTCAAAGTCCCCTTTTATCATTTCCTCTGACTGGATTCTTTTCCAGCTTGAAGGCTCTCCCCTGATGTGCACTAGAGAACATGCAGAAAGACCAACTAATCAGTAGGCAGCTCCATCTAGGTTTGTCCTCAAAGAGCGCAGACTCATGACTCTAGCTAACTTTATTTCTGGCCCCAGGTCAGGTGTCTCCAAGGGTTTCCCAGCCAGTCACTTCACAGAATCTCCTGCAGTCACCATTAAGTAGACTTCTTTCTCAGGAGGCCTTGTCGTCAACCCAACCCTTGATTTCTGGTATCACCCACTCCTGTTACCTGGGCTCTACTCTCTGTCCCATGGCCTCAACCAGGAGCTTAAAGCATAGCTACCAGTTTGAAGGTGCCTTCAGGCTTGGCAGGAACCACGTGGACAAAAGTCTTATAGAGCACAGCACCCTTGGGAAGCTTGGTGACCAGATCCACAGCTTCTGAGTTGCTCGGGTGGGGCACGTAGACTTCTTTCGTGTAGCGGACGACCCCCTCTTCCAGAGCATACAGATACTTCTTCTTCCCTAGCCCCACCTGCAACATACAGAACTGCTCAGCTGCAAGGAAAGTCAGGTGGTCCATCCTGGGGCTACAAGACAGATCTCTCACAAGAAGTCAGGCCCTGGGACCAAAGGGGAGGGTTCAGAAAGCTCCATTTTGAGTTCCCTTTCCCATTGCTTGATACTGCCTTGCTTTCTACTTCTTTACCGACTCTATGACAGAGGAAAAATATAACAGCCACCCAGTTTGGGTGGTTACTCAGTCTCCAAGAACAGTTACCAGCTTCTCCAGGAGACTGTGCAGCTGGCCAGAAGCCACACCAGACAGATCCCCACACCAGGCCCGGAAAATGCCCCTACTCACTGCCCCTAGAAGCTTGCTTCATTTAGATTTCAAAAACACTGCAGTTGTCATATTAAACACTAGTTTGAAATATATTTTCATTTATACAGTGCTCTATCAAGTTTAGGCTCTAAGGAAAGTATAGACCAAAGCTATTTGGACAATGTGTATGCTAATAAAACAACAATAATGATATTAGATAATACTTATATAGTGCTTACTGTGTGTGAGCACTGTTCCAAGCCCTTTTATAATACTGATATATAATAATAAAGCCCTTTTATATCTATCAACTCATTTGATTCTCACCTTGTTTAGTAGGTACTATTTCTAACCCTGTTTTTCAGACATGAAACACAAGCAAAAAGATTAAATAAACTGTGTGTTGTGTATACAATTTTTAAACTGTATATGTTTTAGCTTTTTTTCTTTTAAAACTTGAGATTGGATGTGTGGTGATTTTTACCCAGGCAGTCCAGCAATAGCCAATATTTCTCTGATTAAAAGAATGGACTCTGGAGCCAGGTTGCCTAGTTCAAATCCCAGCACTACTATTTACTATTATGTGATCTGAGCAAGTTACTTTACTTTACTGTCTGTTTTTTCATCTGCACAATGGGGATAATATGAACTACTATATAGGGAGGGTCACCTCAAGGATTAAACGAGTTAACAATCATAAAGAGCTTAGAATACTAATACTGTTAGCTTTTATTATTGTCATCATTATTATTTTAGCAAGTCCCAAGAGTTAACACAGCCACATAGCCAATGTCTCAAGTTCTAAAAGATAAAACTACTACAAATACAATCAATTCTCTTACAGATTAGCATTTCTGAAATAATTATAGGTTACTATCAGTCTTTCTGTTCCTACTAAAATTGCCCAAAAAGCAGTGGGGTATAGGGAGTATGATTCTAAAAGAAACTAAACTAATAGTTAAAATAATGTGAAGACTACAATGTAGATCTGTGTTAACAAACAACTTTCCTACCTCAGAAAGTAACCCCAGCTTGCTGAACTGAAATTCCTGCCTGGTATAGACGTAATTTCTGATATACACACTCAATTCTATTGTATTAAATTCAAGCTAAATTTCAACCATCTAAGAACAACTTTATGCAAAGAAGGAATTCTTTGAAATAAAGAAAAATGAATAAATTGAAATTAGTTTCCCAAGACTCAAAAAATATCTTAAATCACTAGGCATCTTTTCCTACAAGAACTGGAGTTAGAAAGGAGACCTAGGAGAACCAGGTTAATACTATACCAAGGCAAAGCACAGTGATTTTGGGGGTCAGACAGACAAGGTTCAAATCTCAGCTCTGTTACTTGGGCCACAATAAGTCTCTGGCATCTTACCTTAAAAACAGATACCTACCTTCCTCACAGGGATGCGGTAAGGATGAAATGAGATAATGTAGGCCCAGGAATCAGCACAATGCTTGGCATTTGGTAAGCACACAATAAATGCAAGTGTTTTACTATTATCACTAGGCTTAGGAGCATGGAGACATGGTCCTAGAAAAGAAATAATGGGGCAGGGGGAGGCACAGAACAACTCACATGGGCACCTGGGTGCCAGCGGAAGTGGCGCTGAGTCGCAAGGATGTTACCAGCATGAACATAGTGGCCTAGAAGAGAAGTCCATAAGTGCACTGACTCTGGGCCCCAGTGATGCGACAGCAGAGCAAACTGCTAAGAAAACAGCTCTTGCTGTCCTGGCCTGAATGCTGCACACCAACCTCTAAGCCTGCCCCTGGATAAAACCAACTCCCAGAGGGTCCAACATAAGCAGCCACCTGTCCCCACCCAGCAGGCTCCTGTCTCCAGTCGCATGCCCAACGTTCATATTATCTGCTCTTGCAAAGGTCCCTGACCCCGCTTCAGGTATTATCTTCCTCTTTAATCCGGAGCTAAATGCTCTAGTGAGCTAAGGAGAAAGCACAGGATTGGGCATTTGCATGGTTTTCCTGCTCTTCAGAGAAATGCCAGGGGCAGAAGGTAGGGTACAGCTGAGAAATGAAAGCCAAGGCACACCCGTACCCTCCATTTTCCTGAGGCCAAAGCGTTTGCCTGGTGACTTCCCACCAAGGTTTTTGGAGCTGCCACCCGTCTTCTTGGATGCAAATCTGACGGCAAGAGCTGCAGCCTGAGGGGGGCTCAGCAGGGCTGCAACTGCAGAGAGAATGGAAAAATTATTCAGACAGAGAGCCTTCCCAATCTGCCTCAGTGGGCCATTTGCTAAGCTAAGAGGTGGCAGAGGACAGTGACAGGGGAGAAGATATGTGAGCAGAAATGCCACTTGACTGTGCTGGTTTTCAGGGAGTGTCTGGAAGTCCCTGGCCTTCTCCCATGGCAGGGGACAAGTCATTCCTTGTATTGTCCAGGGTATAAGCACTGCATGAGATGTGTGTGGCCAGGGGACTGGGTGTGAGGCAGTGAAATATTAATGGAAAATAAAACAGAACACCATGTGCCCTGGGTCCTAACACATTCAGCCCTGTTGATGGAAAACAAACACCACAGAAAGAGAAGGCAGCAGGAAGACACCACAGAACTGCCTGTTTCAGCCTCAGTCACCATCATGCCCTCAAGGCTCCTGGCACTGTGGAGGGGCCAGACCACAGAGCCCAGCAATAAGACAGCCAGAGAGGTTCCCCATCAACCACTTTTTTTAGCCATCCACTACACACCAGATACTTGTAAACAAAAAGGGCAGCTTCTCTGAGGGTGGCTCCCATGGGCTCTAGCCATTTCAGAAGGCTGGACCCTTTCTTTAGCAAGCCCACCAAGCACAGGTCCAACCAAGAAGACTTGACACCCTGTCTCGTTAATGACCTCTTTATACTTATTCCCAAGTACTCAATGGAATTTATTTTAAAAAGGAAAGTGAACCAACATTCACACTAACCAAGATGGTAGCACCTTGCTATCCAAGCCCAGGGCTGGCAGTCCTCACCTTCAGGTCTTCAGATAGCCATGGTTAATCAGGGCCATCCCAGGCTCTTTAGAGAATCCTTGAGGGTCTCTGAAGCCTATAAGTTCAGAGTTCCTGAAGCCTAGGTTTCTGAAGTTTTAATGAGAATAGAGACTAGCTGGGGCACAGGACCAGATATAAGAACCTAGAGAGACAATGTATTAAATGCCCAGCACCAGGGTCTACTTACTTCTAAACACCTATTAATACATTCATTCACTCACTTATCGAGCTCAGGAACCAGGCTTTTGCCTTACCTACATTATCTCATTCACAAATCTTTGCCTTTCACCCTACTCCCTAGTATTCTCCTCAAAGTGACACTACCACATATGCAGTTGCTCAGGCAGAAATCAAGGAGTCATTGCAGATCCTGTCTCTTTGCTCACCTCACATAGCCAATTATCCAACAAGCTCTGTGGGTTCTATTTCCAAAACAGATTTCAAATCCATCCACTTCCCTCCAAGTTTACTAACACTATTAACATCTTGGTAAATCATCTCTCATCAGAGGTACTACTGCAGCTTCCCATCTGGTTTCCTCATTTCCACTCCTATCCCCTTTAAATTCAAATAAGAGCAACAGTTTGCTTCTAAAAACTTAAAATTGAGTCAAGTCACTCCTACAATGCTAAGCCTCCTGTCATCTTTCAGGTCCTAACTTAGCTGTTACCTCCTAAGAGGGCTTCCCTTGACCATCTAAACTAAAAAAAGACACACACGCACACACACACTTTCAAAGCACTTGTCACAATTTACAACCATTTTATTTATGTGCTCATTTACTGGCTTATCCACTAGGAAGATCCGTCCAGGAGTTAGAGACTGTCTTCTCCGCTGAGCCCCCCAACAATGACTGGCACAAAGTAAAACTTCGATCTGTTGAGGTTAACTCGAACAAATTAAGTTTTTGAGCTCCAATGTTAGTAATCCATTTTTATAGATGAAGGTATCCAAACAAACCCAGAGAAGGAAAGCCGCGAGCCCACTTCACCAACCGCTAGGGAAGCTGCACTTGCAAGCCAGGCAGAGGAAGGGTATATGTTCTTAGAGTCACCCACGGTTCGGCGCCCTAGATATGTCACCGCATTAGCGACTGCTGTCCCTCAAACCTCGTGGGCTCTTCACACTGTCTCCCACGCCCCGCACCCGGGGTCCTCCACAGGGAGCGGCCGTCAACCCCCAACCCCCAGGCTCCCTGCAGGGTCTCCACTCCGCCTCCCGCCCTCGCCCCTCCAAGGCCACCGCGTCTCGGTTACCAGCTGCCTGCGTCCTCAGCGTCAGCGCCGCCAACGCCATATTTGCCGTGTGCTCGCTTCCGGTCTCAGAAAGCTTCTACTTCCGCCACCGGGCAATTTACTTCCAGGTCCTGCGCGGTAGTTGAAAGAGTAGCGGGAGAAGTTGCAGGTGAGTCGAGCGAGCTGGCTGCGGGTGCGGTTGCGGGTGCGGGTGCGGTTGCGGTTGCGGGTGCGGGCGCTGCGGGGCCGGGCTTCACTTCACAAGGACCTGGTGGCCTGGGCGTCTGGGGCCTCTGCCGCGGGATGTGGACAACTGAGGAGCGCACCTTGCAGGGCCCGCCTGTCCCACTCTCTCATTTTGCCGGAGTGTACCAAACTCAGCGAGGGGACAGGGATGAGATCTCTTCCTAGTAATTTAGCTTAATTTCTGGAGCTTTTACTCTGTGCCAGATACTGTTCTAAGCGCTTTAGATGCATTTCTTTTACTTCTTACAAATGAATAAAGTATTATCCCTGTCTTACTAAAGAAAAGGAGACCCAGAAAGGTTACATACCTACAATGTTAGTAAATATTCATTCAAAGAATGACTCTTGCACACCATCGCTGGGTATATCCTTACACTCCTAGGACATATGCAAGAGAACTGAAAACATGTCCACACAAGAACTTGTATATGAATGTTCAATGGTAGCATTATTCATAATAGTAAAAAAATGGAAACAAACCAAATGTCCTTCGGGTGATAAATGGATAAACAAAATGTGGCATATCTATACAATAAACTATCGTTCATCCATAAGAAACAAGTACTGAAACATATAACATAAATGTTGCTTGAAAACATGCTAAGCGAAAGAAGCCAGTCACAAAAGACCACATATTGTATGATTCCATTTATATGAAATATCTGGAATAGGCAAATCTATAGGGACAAAAGTAGATCTGTAGTTGCCAAAATCTGTGGGGGTGGGGTGGGGTAAATGGACAGTGACCACTTAATGGCTATAGAGTTTTTTTTGGGGGGGGGGGCGTGATGAAAATATTCTGGAATCAGTACAACCAGATTGTACAACCTTGTAAATATACAAGAACTGCTGACCTGTACGCTTTAAAAGGATGAATTTTATGGTATGCAAATCTTTTAGTTTTTTAAAAAGGATAACATTTGTCATCTCCATTTCAAATGCAAAGATCAATGGGGGAGGGCTGAGTCTTGTTACTATCCTGTTAGCATTTTGTATTATTAAGCACTACTTTGTTTGTATCTCACCTTGACCTAGAAAGGATTTGAGGAGGGTTCCTATTAGACTACAGGTGTAGCTGTTCTGAGTTCCATATTGAATGTGTTGGGGCCATGTCCTATTTCTCTGTTTCTCTGTGTCATATTTATCTCCATCAATCTCGGCCATAGAACATGTCGAGTGGACTAAATTGAATGCTAAAATATGTTTCATCTTTCTTTGTTTTAGGGAATTAATTTGATAGCACATATTGATGGCTCTAAAGAAATCATCACTCTCACTGGATTCCAGTGAGAGTGACTCTGAGGAGTTGCCAGTATTTGCCTTTCTGAAGAAGGAACCATCTTCAACAAAGAGGAGGCAGCCTCAGAGGGAGGAGAAGATTGTAGTGGTTGACACCTCAGATTCTGAACCCTCCTGTCTTTCATCACCAAGGTTAAGAGATCCACCACCTGTTCCATACACAGGTGAAACTGTTACACAAGCACAGCCAGTTAGGGTGCTAAGCAGTGGAAGTGAGGATGAGGAGGAACTTATTCCTCTGGCTGAGAGACTTACATGTAAGTTTCTGACCCACAAGCAACTGAGCCCTGAGGACTCTGGCTCCCCAATTAAAAGCATTTTGGATCATCAAAATAATGAAGGAGCATCATGTGACTGGAAAAAACAGCCCTTTCCAAAGATCCCTGATGTTCCCCTCCATGACACCTCAAGGAGGTGGGCATCAAATAACAAGGACCTTATGGTAAACAATCCATGCCATCAGCTTCCAGCCTATCAAGCTACCTGCCCTGTCCAGAACAATGGCTTGACAGTAACCAAAACAAATGCTGAGGTCCCCCTGCCTCAGAAGCGAACCAAGCACAATCAGAAGATCCAGAGGAGAGACTCACAGAGATGCCAGCTGCGAGGACAAGCAAGCCAGAAGGAACGCACCCTGAGACAACAGGAAAGGAAGAAGGTGGCAGCACTAGTTAACAGGCCAAAAGCCCAGAAACCAGAGGAATGCTTAAAACACATCGTTGTGGTGCTGGATCCAGGTCCTCCTAGCATCTGTCTTTACCCTGTGCTGAATTATCTGCTTTCCTGGCCACCCACTGACTGCCCCTTTCCCATCCATTGCAGTGCTTTTACAAATGGAAGGTGGAGGCCAGATCCTCGGAGCACTGCAGTCCATGGAGTGCTGCTGTGTGATTGAGGCGCAGGCCGTGCCATGCAGCATTACTTGGAGGAGAAGGGCCGGGCCGGCTGAGGTAGGGATTTTCTGTGTCTCTACTCCCCCACCTCCCCCTAGTATAAATCAGTCAAGGCCCTAGCAGGAAAACAGGTGGTACACTCAACTTAGGATAATTTGAGGAGGATTTAATAAAGGGTCTGTTCCAAACGTGGGCACAGTACAAAGAAACTATAAGAGACAACACAGTCCTTCAGGGTAATAACAGCATTAACTCAGGGTTTCTTCACCTCAGGTACTGTTGCCATTTCGGGTCAGATAATTCTTTGATGTGCTGGGCTGTCCTATGCATTGTAAAATGTTTAACAGCATCCTTGGCATCTATCCACACTATATGCCAGTAGGACCCTTCCCAGTCATGATAATCAAAAATGTCTCCAAATATTGCAAACATCCCTTGTGGGGAAAAATCGCCTGGGTGAAAACCACTGGTGTAGCCATTATCATGCCTAGGCCTGAAGGGATGAGGGGAGAAAGTAGTTACTAGAATCTGGAAGGAGAGAGAAACGTAGGACTGCCTTGAGAGATGCTTGACCTCCAATATAAAAGTGTGCAAACCCTAGGTGACCCCGTTGGGAGGGAGCCAGGGAAAGAAATATCCTGACTTCATTCTCATCCCTCCCTCTAATCTCCTGCTGGGTTCCCCACTGGCCCTACTCAACCAGAGGGCATGCGGACATTGTGATGTGGTCTGAAGAATGGATCTTTGGGGCAGAAGGAAGATAATCTGCACAGGATTTCTAGTTCTCTCTAACTGGGCTTTGGGAATGGGCAGAGCTGTTTGAATCCCAGCCTCATGGCTTTATTGCTGTGATCCTGGACAAATTATTTTGTGTGTTTGTGCCTTGTGTATAAGATGAGGACACTGTTACATTCTTTCCAGCACCACCACCCTCC